AAGAACCAGCCTGCAATGTAATGCATGGGAAATGCAGTGCTAAATCACTTTTTAAGGGACCGCGACAAAGGGGGTCCATAACGACTTTAAAATAAAGTGCACGATTTGAAAATAAAGGCTGTGAGTATGGTTTTATGTGATTGAAGGCAATTTAGAGCTTTTACACAAGGTGTCCCAAAACTCTCGGTGCAATTTAAAGTCATCAAGTGAATGCTAAATGTACCAGCTATTTGGGAGTCATGAACATAGAAGAGCTGTTCAGACGACAGTTAAAATCTGAACTAAAAACCATCATGATAGAGTAAAGAAAAAGGAGTTTTAAATCCCGGACAAATTTTTTAAAATGGGATTGAATTATCCTCCTTGTAATTATATTCATGAACCAAGCCTTCAGAATTGTTTCCTTTTGCTTCCTTTTAAGATCCCCTGCTTCCAGAGACGCATAGAGAAGAGGAACAACTATCCCACTAAGTGTATTCCCGGAACAATCATGGAATCATTTGAAATCCATAGATATAAAAATACTGCTCAACTTTCATGATTTCGGAAAACTCTGTTCCCTTGGCAGACAACATGAGTGACTCAGCACCGTACTGTTGAGTGCTTGTACAGACGAATGTCAAGATAAATGGCAAAATTGTACACTACTGAGACTGTGATAAAACTATCAATGTGTGAGAGCATCCTTATTTCAATTTAAGCCTCTCCTGTTACCCTTTATAGCTAAGCATTGAAGCTAAGCATCGTCCCCAGATTTGCCCCGCTGCTAAGAATCAACTGGGAGGTCTCTTAGCATTGATTCTACTACCCCTTCTGGACTTGAAAGAACCCAAGTTGGCTTTGGGTAGGGCCTAGACATCAGCGTTAACAACACAATACTATATGCTCTTATCTTTGGACAATTGGGAGAATATCTACTTAAAACATATATATGATCATTTACTACCTCAACCCTGTTTTAACCATTCATTGCTACTTTGAGGGCTGAAGGACATACTCAAAAGCAACTGAACACATACTTGTAGGAATCTAACTATACTACTACAGATGAGACAATTAGCATTCTATGGCTATGTGGTCTGGCTAGCTTCTTCACTCTGTTCCAAGAACAAAAAAGTTCTCAAACCCTCAACAATTAACCTGACAAAGCAAGCTACTGGCTGAAAAAAAAGAGCAGAAAACTCCTAAATGGAGAAGTTTGGGGTCTAGCGAGCTCCAGGTGATAGAGCTCCTGCCTAATATGCCAAGGCACTGAGTTTGATCCTCAGCATCAAAGGAAAAAAGCATATAAATAATTTAAATTTAATAAAATTAAATTCTACTTCCAGTACAAAAGAACAAGCTAAAAAGTCAAACAAAAATAAAATCACTATACTAGGCAAACATTAATAAATTTCTAAATTGTTGTTGTCACTATTAGTGTGGGTGTGGGCGTGCCACATCGAGTGTATGAGGCCAGAGCACAGCTTTATGGAGTCGGTTCTTTTCCTACTTTTATGTGAGTTCTGTGGCTCACACTCAGATTGTCAGACCTTCATGACAAGCACCTTTTAACCTTGCTGAGCTACTTCACTGGCCTCTGAGAGTATTTTTTATTTGTTTATTTTTTTAGATCTATTTCTGTGTGTGATTTTACTTGCATGTATGACTATGTACCATGTGTGTAGCTGGTGCTGAAGAAAATCAGAAGAATGCATTGGATCCCCTGCAACTGGAGTTTTGTATGGCTGTAAATTCCCCAAGTGGATGCTGGGAATCAAACCCAGGCCCTCCTCAAGAGTAGAAAGTGCTCTTATCTGCTAAGCCACCTAACAGTATTTGTATACCATGATGTTTCATAGAGTAAAATGAATTTAAATACTTGAAAATCCTTAGTCATAATTATGATTTTTTTCAAAGTAAACTTACTGCAGTATAACACGCATGCATACGTGAGGTAGAACCTTTATAAAGACTTGAGTCATTTTTTTGAAAATCGGTTTGTAAAATTCTTTATGTTTTGAGATTATAATTACATCATTTCACCCTTCCCTTTCATCCCCCCAAACACCCCTTCTTGTTCTTTCAAATTTATGGCCCCTTTTTTCATTAATTATTCCATACATATAGATATGTAATGTTTAATATATTACTTGTATGTATGTTGATATATAATCACATAACTATACATAGTAATCAGATAGTCTATAAAGTTATAGCACATGCAACACATATGAATTGTTACTAAGTAAATACACATAAGCCTGCAGGACCCAGGGCGTCACTAACACCTGAAACCCTCTTCAAAATGTTTCTGTTACTTCCCTCTTTCCTCGGTGCATGCAGCTGCTATTCTGACCAAATTTTGGTTTTGAATTTATATAAGTTGGGTGTTTTTTGTTTGGATATTTTTAAAAAGACTTATTTATGTTTGAGTACACTGTTGCTGTCTTCAGACACACCAGAAGAGGGCATCTGATCTCATTACAGATGGTTGTGATCCACCACAATGAACTTGGGACCTCAGGACAAGCAGTCAGTGCTCTTAACTGCTGAGCCCCTTCTTGGCTTCTTTTAATGTTCTGATTGTGAGTCATACCTGGCACGTTCTGTCTCATTTCTGTAATTCTGTGTGACTACACACAACCACACATTCTAGGTAGTGATTTCTCATGTCTTTGTGAGAACAACTTTCAGTGGAAGGTTGGCTGGGGCTGGCTGTCACTTGATGGCTGATGAGCTCTGCCTCCTGGTGGATACCTGAGATGTGTATCCTCCTCTATTTCCCTGAATTCCCCAGCAACACTGTGTCCCACAGGCTAAGGATTGTTAACTTGATTAGCAATGAGGGTTTGGTGTTTTTTGTTTTTTTTTTTGGGGGGGGGGATGGTCAAGACAGGCTTCTCTTTGTAGCCCTGGCTGTCCTTGAACTTACTCTGTAGATCAGACCACCTTGGAATTCTCAAAGCTCCATCTGCTTCTGTCTCCTGAATGCTGGGATTAAAGGCATGTGTCACCATGCCCGGTGACAATGACTTATTGGTTCCTTTCCATTCTGTCCACTCTGTTCTTTTTGTGCCCCTCCCTCCCCCCAACTGATGTTTCCTGGAGAAGCTAAAGTCAAATACTTGCTTCAGAGCCAACTTCCACAGAAACTAACTCGTGGGCTGATTTTTGTGCCATTTTAACATTCACTCGAGAAGACTGGTTCCTTTGTGCTCTTAGAGTTAAAATATGCTGGACACACTGAGATACCACCTAGCACACTAAAAACAACCCACTCTGTAGTGAATAAGCCTCCCCATGAATTTTTCATGGACTGAACATTTCTTGGATTTCCCATTCGGAAGACAGTCATTGTTAAAATACTCTGTAAGCCACTCAATTAGACCCAGATATTCTATCAGTTATTGTGGTGGTTTGAATAAAAATGACCCCTATAGACTCATTGGGAGTGGCACTATTAGGAGGTAGGGTCTTGCAAGAGTAGGTGTGGCTTTACTGGGGAAGTGTATCACTAGGTGGCTGGCCTTGTGGTCATAGAAACTCAAGCCAGGTCTAATGGCATTCTCTTCTTGTTGCCTGTGGATCCAGATATAGAACTCTCAGCTCCTTCTCCAGCACCATGTCTGCCTGCATGCCACCATGCTTCCCATCATACCAGACAAAACCTCTGAACTGTATGTAAGCCAGCCTCAATGAAATGTTTTCCTTTATAAGAGTTGCCTTGGTCATGGTGTCTCTTCACAATAATAAATCCCTAAGACAGTTCTGTTTTTCTCAAGAATCCTAATAACCTTGGTTGTCATTTTGACTGGATCTAGACTCAACTAAGAGTCAAGTATCTGAACACACCCATGAGAGAGTTTCTTGATTACATTAACTGATCTGGGCAGTACCTTCCAATGGTAAGCCAGGTATAAAGAGGCCCAAGAGAAAAGACTCTTGCTTTTTTCCTGCTTGCTCTCATGCTGTGCAAATTAAATTCATAGACTCTGTTGTTGCCATTGTCACTGCTGCTACCATTCTTCAGTGACATCACAACTCAGTCCCCTTGGTTCTTGCATGATTAAGCGTAGTGGCTCTTTTGTCTGGACCTTCAGCACCAGACTATGATGCTAAGGCAACAGCCTATGGACTGCAAAGTCATCAGATCCTAGACATATCCCGTGTAAGACAGCACTCAGTGCATATTGTATATGCTAATCCAATAATCCCCCTCTAGCTGTGTTCTGCTCCCCTAGAGAGGCCTGACTAACAGGCTGAGAGATGCCTATATTAGTAAGGCATATTTCTTGATGTGTCTGTGTGGTCATTTCCAGAGATGGTTAGTATGCCAACTGAGAAAGGCCAACCTTAAATGTGGTTGGCATCATCCAACAGGCTGGGGTCCTGGTGGAACAAGGCAGGAGGAAGAAGACAGCTAGTTCAAACTCCTGTCTTCCTGAATGCCTGTTGCTGTTGCTGTTACTCATAGATGCCAGACTCCTGCTGCTCCAGTCTTTCCACATGAGCTCTGGAGGTTTCAGAAGTCCCTCTTGGACTGAGGCTTCCAGCTCTTGGACTGAGCAGCTACTGTGCACTGACTGCTGGGCATGCAGATGAGCACTGCTGGACTCCGTAGTTCCAGCCAGGCAAGCCAATCTGATAAGCCCCACATATGTGCATCTAGATAACATACTGGAAAGCAACAGTGGGTATTGGTAAATTGCTGTATTAGATTTAAAATTGTTTGCATTACAATATTTAGTTAAATTGACAGAAATTGAAATGAGCATTACGGATTGCCTCTAACTTTAACAAAGTTAACTCACTTATAACGGGAAAACACTCTGCAGACTGTATTTCCCAACTGCCCTGTGCTGTGATTGTAGGATGTTATACAGACTGTTGTGAATTGTGCAATCCCACTTCAAGATGCAAGTAATTATATATATTTAAGTCGAAATAGAAGGTGTAATGTTTTCTCAGAGCTCTTACCCCGCCTTTCCCAGCAGAAAGAATAAAAAGGGAAAGAAAAATTAATTTAAATCCACTTTTTATTTTTCATAGACTTTAATAATTATACATTACTCTTAACATAAAGATAGTGAAATCTTAAGGATAAGGAGGCAATTTATATAGCCTCTTCTATTCATTGTTCAGGATGGAAGTTTCCAAAGGGCACAGGTATGAGATTTAACACTGGAAAAATACATATGAAACTTGTTTAACTGGCTGCACTTAGGACCAGGCACAGCACAATAAATAGAGAACTGCATAATCTTTTAAAAAGACTGCTATATTTTAACACATCCTTACTAAAGAAGCACTATCAGTGAAGAATCTGAAGCTCTACAATGTGGGCAAAGGGAAAGTTACAGTGAAAATCTGGGCATTGTTTCTGTAGCGTCTGCACACTCATACATCATACAGCGAGGAAGAATGCACATCTCGAATCCAGGACAACAAAAACAAACTTGGTCAAGTAGTTTCTTGGGATCACTCATTCTGATCACAAGCCTAAGTTGCTGGTAGGTATAAGCAGACAAGTTTTGAAGTCTTTCTCATCTCCACAGGTCAGGGCTTCTGGATACGAAGCCACACTGGAAGCAAACCGATTAAGCAGCACCGTTAATCCACCTCTCAACAAGTCATTGCATAATCCATCTCCGATAACAGTGTTTAATAGTTTTAAAATTGTTACGTGGAAGAATATCCTTCTTGAATAGCAGTCCACTGTGTAGACATGCACTAGCAAGGATTTACACATTACATTTGAAGTGTAGACTGACTATATCTATCCAAAAGACCATAAGAAATGCACCACCTAATAATTTAAACAACATACCAAGGCTTAAATAAATACTTCGTTATTACACTGTGTACGTGAGAGTTAGCCATGTTCCAATAGCCTTCCCCCTCCTGAAGAGGAAGCATGGCCAGCACTATCAGCCTGAGAGTGAATAGGGAGCTCTCCAAGCTCTCTGAAGCGAGCCTTATTATGCAAATATGAGAATTATTATTTAAACACAGTGAAACAGCAAGACAAAAATTCATCTTTTTTTTTTTTTGGTTGTTACCAGTTAAATATAAGAACAACTTTCATCTCTAACAACAGAAAGGAAGCTACTGTGACCAGATACTTTGAGAAGCTTTCTGAGTCAGTGAAAAAGAAAACACAGAAAATATATTCTGCAATTGGTAAATTTGCTATTTTCAGAATGTCAACAGGCAAACAAACACAGGACACAAGTACCTTGTGGAAACAATGCCACTCTGGCCCCAAACTCCACAGTGCAGGTGTTCTCCCAGGGGCAGACTGCCTGCAGGCACTGTACGTCTGTGGTGGTCTAACCCTGCCCCACCCCACTCTGAGAAGCTTGGCTGACTAAGTCTGAGGAAAAGAACGACCATGATGTGGATCACATTTTCAATGATTTTTAAATTGTATTAAAAAAAAAAAGGTTTCCTAGTAATTGAGTATACAAAAGTCCTTGATATTAAATTTCTCTTAGTGAAATAAAATATGCTTTAACAAGATGATATCAATTTAAGTTTGACCACCTAGCTCTTTCATTTCATTCTTTCTCATTCTCAGAGGGAACTGATTTATCTATTATGTTCGGCCTTGCAAATGTCTGTTAGAAAAACAAAATAGTTCCCAAGTGCCCCACAAACAGTCCTGATTGATACCGGGGAAGCTACAAATAATTGGAACATTAATCTTTTATGTTTTTAAATGGAAATATTTCCTGGAAAACAGTTACTCAACAGAACACTAAGTTGCCAGTGGTCTAAACTACAAACACTGAGTCTTTTCTTAAGTACCTATCCACAGTACAGAGATCTGGCCTTCCATTCCCAATAGAGTACATGCAATAGTCCTGTTTAGTTTACTGGAGATGAGGGAAGGGGTAGTCACCTTACATACAAGTTTACAGTATGTATCATGTTACAACGTGTATGTTACATTGTGTATCATATGCACTACATTCACCACTTCAGATAAAGGTCAGGGAGCTCCGTCAAACACTGGAACAAAGGAATGTTTGTTTTATAAGACCTACCAAAGAAACAGCAAAATGAACGAGAACACACATAGGCACTAGTCTCAAAGCTGCACAATATGGAAGCGAAGGGTTGGAGCTGAGAAATTCAGGAAAATATACACGTATGAACTTGCTGAGGAAGAGGAAAGAAATCACAGTTCTAGTCTTCAAGGCTACGGAATGCATTCTGCATATCTTCAAGAAGCTGTGCATAGTCGGCCTTGATCTTTGCTTCGCCGTCTTTCACTGGATCCTAAAAAAGAAAATACAAATTTACCTATGGAAAATAATTTTCCAGATGTGTGATAGGTTATTTATTAATATGGAGTATCAGCTTAAGCTGAGGTACACTGGTAAATCACAGGTAAACCCAACTTTCTTTTACAGTGGAAATGTGCAAATGGACTAAAACAAAACCAACATTTCATTTTTGAATTTTGCCTGCTATTGACACTCAATGATCAAATCTTAGCAATGTGTAAACTAGTGGGAATCTTGTAGCATTACACATTAGTGTATGTGTGTAAACAACAAGTAAAAGTTAAAATTCAGTGAATTTCCTATTCAAGGCCTGGTGGCATCACATTCAGATGGAGAAGTTTAACATAGACAATAATCTAATATAGCTCATTTAACTGAATCCAGGTCATCAGGTTAAGCAGCAAGTGCCATTACCCACTAAGTCACCTTGTGTCCTCTAGACTTAGACCTGTTTCTGTAGTATAAATATATTCAGAGCACCATTTTTAATGGATGATCATTATATGTGCCTGTAAATCATGACAAGAAATAATGAAATGTAATCTAATTCATCAAACACTTTAAAAAATATTCATACATTAGTGTTTCTACCAGTAAGTTCACTTAACTGGTTAAACTTTGAAAGAATGTGTAGGCTAGATGAGATAAAAGGCCCTCTAGTAAAGTAGCTGCTGCCCAGCCAAGACTTCACTTCAAACTGCCTCGTAGCTAAGACAGAGAAAATACATTAGGATTTATTTTGAATATAATATACTATATATTTTTTTATGCACACATGTGTGTCTGTGTGTATATCTGTATACCATTTGTGTGTAAGAGCCTTTGGGGCTCAGAAAAGGTGCTAGATCCTTGGAATTTCAGGAATTGTAATCCACCATATGGGTGCTAGGATTGAACCCAAGCCCTCTGCAAGAGCAGTAAGTGTTCTTACCAGATGACCATCGCGCAGCCCTACAGACATGACACACCACAATCTTTACCACTGGAATTCCTGAGTGAACCTTACTTGGAAGACTGTTGGTTTTATACAACCTAAGCAGTGTAAAATAAAAAGTGCACACCAGGGGCTTAGAGATAAAGCCTTGCTGTTTTCCAGAGGACCCAAGCTTAGTTCTCAGTATCCATACCAGGCATCCAACACCTACTTCTGGCCCTGCAGGTATCCACACACCTGTGGCGCACATATGTACGGCACATGCACATATACACATAAATGAGAATAAATCTTAAAAGAAAAGAAAAATGCACATTTCATACCTCAGGTTTGGAATTCAGATAGGACAGGAAAGAAGAAAAAGGAAGAAGAAAAAGGGAGGGAGGGAGGGAGGTAGGGAGGGAGGAAGGGAGGGGAAGGAGGGGGAAAGGAAGAGTTGGTTTCTTACTAACAAAAGCTGGAGTAGAAAGAAAATATACCTTGAATTTCATGGAGGAAAGTTTATAGAGAATCTCCCCCATGTGCTCACGGATAATGGACCACGTGATCTTATTGTCACTCTGGGCGGTGGTCTCCACAGCTCGGCGGGCCATATCATAGAATGAAATCATGTTGGATAGCATCCCCACCGTCTTATAGAATGGACAGAACCTAGGGAAACGAACAACAGGAAGTTAGCAAAAACAACCTACAAAGCAAATTCACACTTTTACTACGCAAAACTTTAGTTATGAATTATTAGCCATCAGTTTGCATAATATACATTCTGCTGCTATTCACAGGATGATACATAAGGACTGAAACAGTGGGGAAAAGACACCTCAGTTGGATGGCATACACGGACACGAATATGCATGCACTGAAAGGAATTCTGACTTTTCTGTTGAGACTGTCAACCAGAGACCTATGACGGGGCAGGACTGCCGCACTCTAGTGACGGGTCAGCAGTCTGCTTCGTACAAACAATTCAACACATAGCTTAAGTGCTAAAACAACTGAGTAGCAAAGGCTCCCTTGTGACCAGAGATAAGGGTTAAGGAATAATAGGAAAGCAGAGAACTGAAAAGTTGCTAAAGTTACCCTGCTCTTCCCGAACCCCACGCCTCTATACCTTCCTCCCTCACTTTTTCTCACTGTGCTGAGCCCAGGCTCTTGGGTATGCCAGGGAAGCTGCCACCTCCCCCCACCTCCCACAGTTTTCTGTTTCCTTTAGTATATTCATTTTTATCTACTCATACCCTTTTAAAGCACAGACAGACAGATAGACAGACACACACACAGATGCACACACACAGAGGAACAAATACTCAATTCCATGTATTCTTTTATAATCTTTTTAAAGAATTCTGCCTGTTTTCCTTATGTAGTGGTTCCATTCAGGACAGATCAGGGTTGAGGCTGACATACTGGCCTATTTTTACTTGCCCTACATTCTGATCAATTCTTTTATTTGCTCAGTTTTCATCTTGGGTGTCAGTCCATCTTCTCTCAGAGCCTCTGCTGTCCACTGCTGTGAATGTCACACTAGCTTCGAGCTGGTCCATGAGCTGCCTAGGATTCTATCTCCATAAGGAGGCAGGGACACATATATACGCTACTGTGCTTGGTTTTGTGTGGATTTGGGTAAAATCAGGTACACTGAGCCATTTTCCTAGTGCTTCCCCCCATCTCTTTTTTTATGGAGTCAAATATGATTAAAGAAAGAAGGCTAGCTTAAGATGAAAGACTCAAATTGTTTAAAACAGGTTCTCTAAAAAAGTCAGAGCACTAGCAGAGAAAATGAAAACGGGCAAGCACGGGGAAGTGGTGGAAGAAGGCAGGAGGGGCACTCATCAAGAGTTTGTTGTAGCAGGAAATGCAAGACTCTTATGAAATAAGGCAGAGAAGGCACAAAACAAATCCACAGGCAAGGCGGGTAGAAGGCAGCGGAGAAGAAAACTGAGGCAGGTGACGCTCCCCCAGGTCTGCACACAAAGCCACAATTCACTCTAATTATAGATGGTTGTGAACAAAAATACTGTCAGAAGTTGACTACCGAGCAAATTGAGACAAGGGGCATATTAGAAGTCTGCTATGAACATATAAAATAAGCAACATACTGAATCAGAATGCACTCATGTGAGAAAGTTCTCAATGTGCAGGCAGCTCTTTGCCAAAACACAATAGAAAAATCCTCCAATAAACAAGGAAATCAGTGCAGCAAGCGTACCTGTCATAAGGAGTGTACCCATTTTGTTGGAGGAAGTCATCTTTAATAAGTTTTGCTACCTCCAGAGTGATTTTATCTGTCTCTGCTAAAGATGCCTAGGAAAGAAAAGGATACTTTAAGAAATTTAATTCATCACATGGGCCCAATGGTAACAATCAATTAATAAGTATACATCAACATATAATCACTTACCACTAATAAAAGACCTTTATGCTTTTTAATAGTGGGAAAACAGCACATAAGTATAAAATCTAGAATTTAGCAGTTAGGCATAGTGGCTCATGCCTATGATCTCGGTATTTAGCCAGCTGAAACAGGAGGATTGGTGTGAGTTCTAGGCTAGCCTGGATAGCAAAGTGAGTTTCAGGCAGGTCTGAATTGAACCTCTTAAAGTTCAGCAGTATAAAGCACAACCGCATTTCTGTGAGCTGTTTTTAAACTAGCCCCCTTGCAGCCCTGAAACCCTAAGCCCACAAACTGCACTGCTCCCTTTCCTAGTTTAGACAGCTGACAAGTAAGATCACACAGTGTTTGTTCTGTGACTAGCTTATTTCATTTAAAACATCCTCTGCATTCTCAGTGTTGCAGCATATGATAACAACACACTGGACTAATGTACTGTCTGTTCATTCACTAATAGGTAGACATCACATAATAATGTACTGTCTGTTCATTCACTAATGCACTGGCTGCTCATTCACTAATAGGTAGACATATTATACTAATGTACTATCTGCTCATTCACTAATAAGTGGTTCATTCTTGGTTACTGTGGACAATACTGCTATCAACAAGAGCAGGCTTTTAGTTTTTTTTTTAATTATTATGTGTATGAGCACTTTGCCTGCATGTATGTATGCATACTATATGTTTGTCTGACTCCCAGAGGTCAGAAGAAAGCATTGAATACCTTGAAACTGGGGTTGGGGATGGTTGTGAACCACCACATGAGTGCTCTTAATCACTGAGCCATCTCACTAGCCCTGATTACTCTTTAAAAGCATCTATGTGTGTGTACAGCCATGTGTGTTCATGTGCACCATGTGTGCACATGATCCCAGAAGCAGAAGAGGTTATTAGATGCCCTGGAACTGGAATTACATATCATTGTAAGCTGCTTAATCTGGGTGTAGCAAACAACCTGGGTTCTCTGCAAGAGTAATAATAAATACTCTTAACTCCTGAACTACTTCTCCAACATCCCCTTTAGATTTATTTATTTTTATTGTATGTCTATGGTGATTGCCTGCATGTATGTCTGTGTACCATGTATGCGCAGAACTTGGCAGAAGCCAGAAAAAGGGCATCAGACCTTCTGGAACTGAAGTTAAAGGCAATGGATACTGGGAATTAAACTCAGGTCCTCTGGAAGAGCAGCCAGTACTCTTAACTGCTGAGCCATTACTCCAGTATCCAAGCCCTGCATGTTCTTAACATTTATTTTCTCTGAATCATATACAATCTATTTGATCCAGTTCTTTCCTTCCCTCCCTGGTCCTCCCCACCAGCCTGCCCATTCTTTAAAGTACTTTTTAATATCCTACCCTGTCTCTATTACTTGAATCCAGTTCTTAAGTTTATTTGACAGAAATCTAAACAGCCCATAAAGTTACTTTGTTTTTCATATTACAGGATGTTTAGAACTATTCACTTATGGGAGTGGAGTTTTATTAGTAAGCTAAGCCTCAAGTGCTCTACTGTTGGCAACCACCATGGCAAACATGACGTAATACCACTGTTGCTAGGATCACTAACAAGAGGAGAAAGGGACAAGTCCCAGAGTTGAGGCGCTCTGGGGTGACTTCTGTGTATTAGCAACTGAGGTAAGGAGCGAGCCTTTCACAAGGAGAAGCTTTCTTCTCAAAAGATCTCTTTCATCCCTATTTCTTCCTTCAACCACACGTAAATATCTTAAGTATGCATCGTGCTTTGTTTCAATTATACAAAAATGTACATTTTATTTTATGAAAGCATTTTCATTATTTAAAGCACCCTGGTGTTTTTGACATGCTGATTTAAAGATCTACCATACTGTTCTCTGCAACTTAATTCACTTCTTTCAACCTTGGCAATTTCATTCTGTATGCACATTCTCCATTTTTTTCTTTTTCCAGACAGAGTTCCTCTGTGTAGCCCTGGGTATCTTAGAACTCCTTCTGCAGAGCAGGCTAGTCTTGAACTCACAGAGATCCACCTGCCTCTGCCTCCTGAGGGATTATAGGCATGTGCCACCACTGCCTGGCTGAATCTTCCGTTCTTTATAGTCTATCTATGCCCCTGGTAGAGGGCATTCCAATTTCATCTAATTTCCTACTACCATATCTATCTACTGAGGACTCTCAGCACCCAGCACTGTGCCTACTATGGCCACTTCAGATGGTATGCCCATCAGTTGTACACCAGTCCCAGATCCCACAGTACTTGGCAACACCCAGATGTACATTTTTTTGCCATTGAAACTAGTGTAGACTGTTGTATCATTGCTGTTTGAAAGATTATCTATAGGTCTGTAATATTTCTGGCTTGCTTTTTCATCTGTCTGCTCCACCCTTTGGTTACATTTTAGACAGTAGACTGTTAATTTTATTTACTGAAAACTTCCTTTAACAACTTATTATATTTATTTTGTGTGTATGAGTGTTTTGCTTGCATATATGTTCAGTATACACATGTGTACTCAGTGCCACAGAGGCCAGAAAAGGGTATTTGATCCTCTGGAACTGGAATTACAGACAGCCATGACCTACCATGTGAGTGCTGGGAATCAAATGCAGACCCTTTGAAAGAGCAGCAAGTGCTCTTGACCACTGAGCCATCTCTCCAGCCCCACCGTTGCTTTCGCTTGTTATACTTAGGAAAACTGCAGAAGTCCTTTTCTAATCCTACATAACAAAAAGAATCTTATAAGATTGGCTTTCTTTAACATTCATATGTGTACATGTGTGTGTGTGTGTGTGTACATATATACATACATACACACATACATACATACATACACACACATATACTTTCAATTATTTCCATGGGCACGTGTGTGTGCGTGCATGTGTGTGTATGTGTGTGTGTGTGTGTGTATGTGTGAGTGTGCCGTAACTTGCATGTGGAAGTTAGAGGACAGCTTTTGGGAGTTTTTTTTTCCTACCACATGGGTCTCAGGAATTGAACTCAAGTCATTGGGCTTGGCAGCAAGTGTCTTTATCATAGATCTGTTTTTTTCTAAGGCTGGAGAGATGGTTCAGAAGTTAAGAACATACATTGCTATTTCAAAAGACCCAGATTTGATTCCCACATCACCTCATAACTGTGCAACTGTCTGACACCTCTAGCTCCCAAAAGCATGTACACACTCATGTACATATCCACATACAGTCAGTCATGAGCTGTCATGTGAGTGCTGGGAACCAAATGTGGATCCTTTGACAGGCACATACACAAAATAAATCCCCCCCCCAATTTTGTTTTCTATTAATGTAAAAGTGTTTCCTTTCATACCTTAGATTTGAACCTATTTGTAGTTATTTAACCTTTGGATGTGGACCTGGGAAGCAACCCAATTTTGCTTCAGACGCTTAATAGCTTTTTCACTGCTGACCAAACAAGCCATCCTTCCCTCACTTGATCTGTGACACACTCTGCAGTACTGAGGATCCAGATATGAACTCTACCCCTGCTCTGTCTACTGGTGTGCTTGTCTGTTATCTTACTAATATCACACTGTTTTTATTACTATAATTTTCTGTTAATACCCGATGGAAGAACATCCCTTCTTTATTTACTGTTGTTTTATTTCCCTAAGAGTGAATGTCTAGGACAGCAAATGAACTTTAGAATGATTATTGATTTACTCAGAAGATTCAGCTACAGTGGGCTGAGATGTACCTCAGTAATAGAATGTCTGTTTAGTGTGCATGGGGAACAGTCTCCAATGTTGAATATGAAATCAGCTGGAAATGTGCTTGGTAGTGCACTGACTTTATAGTTCAAACAGAAGTGGTATTATCAAACATTTATTTGAGTCTAAAAACATGCTGCCATGCTAGCTATGACCTCTATTCCATTGCTATTGTGAACACTGTGTGTTCTGTTAGTATACAAAAATTTCTCTTGGTTTCTGTTTGTCTTGAATCAAGACTCCTCACCCAACGCTTACCAATTCTGCTTCTCTGTTAGTTTTCTATTTAGATGAGGACATTTACAAATAATGACATTCCTCCTTTTACAACAGTGCTAGTTAGTTTTTAATGTCAACTTCAAACAAGTTAGAGTCACCTGGGAAGAAGGAACCTCAACTGAAAAACAGGCCCCTACCAGTTTGGCCTGTGGGGCATTTTCTTGATTAATGATTGGTAAGGGGTGGGCCCACCCCACAAGGGTGGTGTCACTCTGGGTGGATGATCTCAGATGATAAGAAGGCAGGCTGAAAAAGCCAATAAGCATTTCCACGGCTTCGGCTCTAAGTTCCTGTCCTGACTGAGGTCCTGCCCTGACTTCTCTCCCTGATGGACTGTTACCTGGAAGTATGAGACGAAATAAACCATTTCTCTCCAAGTTGCTTTTGTTCATGGGTTTTATCACAGCAATAGAAACTCTAAGATATATTTTTTTAATTGAATGAAACAATTTCACTATTTAGGACTTCCATACTCAACTGATTGTAAGCATTCTAGTTTCAATCTGGATTTTTTTTTTTTAAATGCATCTGAAATTTCCCTACTCTGTATTAAGTAAAGGATTCCCATTTTAGTATATTATTGGTATTTTCACATACCGTGTGTAGTGTGTATGTGACTGTGCATCCATGTGGAAGGCAGAGGAGGACACTGTGTTTCTTCCTCTATCACTTTCCCCATACTCCCCTGAGACAAGAGTTCTCACTGAACTAGAAGCTCGCCATGTTGGCTAGGTTAGCTAGCCGGTGACCCTCCAGAACCTGCCTCTGGCCCTCAATGTCAGGGCTGCAGGTGTGCAGGTGTGTGGTGGTGGGGAACTGAACTTAAGTACTTAAGGTTGCACAGCATATGTTTTATCCACTGAGCTTCCCCTGATAATTTTTTTAGTATTTATTTTAATTTCTATTCATGGGTATGCTTCTGTGTCTGCTGTGTGTATATGGGGATGTGCAGAGGTCAGACAATAGCATCAGATTTCCGAGAACTAGAGTTAAGGGTGGTTGTGAGTGGCCCAACATGGGTGCTGAGAATTGTACCCAAGTCCTCTGTGGGAACAGTGAGTGTCTTAAGAATTTGTTCTGTCTTCCTGCCCCCATGTTTTATTTAAGACAGCGTCTGTTATGTGTTTGGGCTACTGTAAAATTCCTGGGCTCAAGTACCTTTCCAGTCCATGTCCCCAGTAGCTGTACAATACAGGTACACATTACCAAGCAGAGATTAGCATATTATTGTTTACAGAGTTACAAAGTTCTATTCCTTGTTTTGCACGAGATTTCTAAAATTACAACAGTAAACTTCAAATATTGTTTACATATTGGTTGAGGTATCATTTTCCAATTACATTTTTTATATTGGCAAGTTATGATGCATTATGTTTTACGTATGAATGCATACAAGTTCATGTGTGTGCAGAAGTTTGCATGTGTGCAGTGTGCCTGCACACGTGGAAGCCAGAGGCTGATGCTGGGTGTCTTCCTCAATTGTTCTCCAGTTAATGTTGTTCTCACTAAACTCGGGACTTACCAGCGGCCCAACCAGCCCCAGGGACCCTGCTGTCTACCTGCATGCTGCTGGAATCACACGCACACACCAGCACACATGGTTTTTTACATGGGTGTGGGCGATCTGAACTCAGGTGCCTGTAGCTGATGACCGAGTCATCTCCCCAGCTCCTAATGATACATTTCTGGGTCACATCTGCTACACTCTGCTTGTTCATGATGGATTGTATTTGTATGCCCTACCAGATCTAGTAAGTGAATATTTAATATTTTAATCTGTATTCATAAGCAAAATATTTTCCTCAAATTGCCTTTGTCTGGTATTGCAGGCCTATCTCTTGCTCGTCAGAGAGGATCACAATGCTCTGTAAATACTAAATGTGCAGTACGTGCTGTAGATGTTAGCTATCTAATGTTATCGTCCTTGTTGGAATCAATTAGGTAATTGTATCAGATATAATAAAAATAACAGGCCGTGGCATTGTGGCACACACATGTCCCAGTACCTGGGAGGTACAGACAGAAGGCCTGTGAATGTGAAGCTAGCCTGAACTACATGGTAATAATCTATCTCAAGAGAGGGAGGGGGTTGGGGAGTCCTGGCTAGTTCTTTATATGACCTGAGAAATCATTCAATTGTGAGATTTAAAATGACTACGGTTATTTACAGCATCCTCCTCTGGAATATCTAGATCTAGGCAACCGTATGTAAGTCACTTACTGGAGGTCCCATACCTAATTATTAAGGGAACTGGAATCTGATCCTTTATGGCCGGCTCTAATGCTCCTACAAAAATTATGTTGACAGGCCTTAATTTCAAACCTAAACTGACCGGGTGATGGGTGTCTTGATTTCACCTGTCGTTAGTTTAAAAACTATTTCACATTTAAGGTTTTTGTTATCTTGAGCCATGATCTCATACTCGTAGCCCATACTACCCTGGACTGTACTATGTAGCGCGGATGGGCTCCAGAACTGTGGCACGCTCCCTACCTTAGGCTCCTGAGTGCTGAGATTACTCAGGAGCCATTACGCCAGCCAGGCAAGCACCTGCATAGTCAAGTCTCAGCAACTCGTAAGGCACCCCAGCGCAGCCCCACACACCTTCCCCACGAGCTGCACGATTTCCGCCAGATCCTCTTCCTCCTGCAGAATCTCCTTAGCTTTGGTCCTCAGAGGAACGAACTCTGTGAAGTGTTTGTCATAGTACTCATCCAAGGCACGCATGTACTTGCTGTAGCTGATGAGCCAGTTGACAGAGGGGAAGTGCTTGCGTTGAGCTAACTTCTTGTCCAAGCCCCAGAACACCTAATTTAAAAATACAAAAGTTAGGCTTTTTCTTTTTCAAAGTAGTGCAGTATATCTGTCCCTAATAAGCACTTTGTAACTTCTTGGGCCAATTATATATCATATTAGTCTATGTAAATATTAAAATGTACAAAAACCCAATCTTAACTAAAAAAAAAAAAATCACATTTCTCTATTTTCAAGGTGGGCAATAACTATATCAAATGTGATAGTAAAAAGGAAAATAGGTGCAACTGGAGATTATTATGGTATAACAACAGAAGGACCAGTGGGCTTCCTGAGACCAAACAGATTTGCCTTGATTAAAATCCTTTAAACATTCTAAGGAACTCAAGTTACTATCACTCGAGTCAATTAAAACGTAACATAATTTAAAACTATAGTTCTGATTCATACACATTTTAAATTTAGGCTTCTTTAATGATTAGCTACCCACTAAACCACATTTTCCAGCCTTGCTCTCACCTGGTACAGAAAACAGAGGGTAATGTCTGTATCACTTTGGAGCCTACGGTTCACAGTGTGGATGTGCTTTTTCTACAGTTGTCCCTGGCAGCAGCTAGATGCAGAAAACTACCAGGCTGAGCAACGGGAGGACAGTGAGAGACCAGCCAGGTGCTCCTGCATGACGGGAGATACCCACTTTCTGATGAGACCTGGGACTATTCTGTGATGTTTTGGCATTATGCAGTTTGGGGCCTATTTGGCTCTATACGTAAGAGTTAGTTTATTGGGTAGGATAACTCTAACTAAAAAAAAATTGCTACAAGGATGTATTCCAGGCTTCTGTTATGTTTAGTATAAACTGTGAAAAACTGAGAAAAAAAAAAAGAATGTGCTAAACTTTCAGTGTTAAGGATACTATTAAAACATTTTTTAAAAAACTTTCTGCCAGTTCTTTAGTGACTAAATTAAATATCTGATGATTACTTAGCTAAATTACAACTGGGGTATGGCAGAAGGGAAGACATACCTGAACAATACCCAGAGTAGCAGATGTGACGGGATCAGAAAAGTCACCACCAGGTGGAGAAACTCTAGATTAGAAACAAAATATAATCATTAGAAATGTTTATGAAAAATAATCACATATACCATATACTTGAAAGTTAAAAATATAAAGATATCAAAACACAATATACAAACATCAATTTTTAAAAAATAGTTAATTTTGTTTTTATTGCTAGAAATGGAATCCAAAGCTTCATGACTGCTAAGCACATGAGCTAACACCACGCTATACCCCAGCCCTATTAAAAACAGACAAACAAAACCCAATGCTATACCCCAGCCCTATTGAAAACAGACAAACAAAACCCAAGCCAATCGTGTGTGCATATGTGCAGAGGTGGTGCACCTGTCCCATGGGTCACTCGTGGAGGTCAGAGGACAACCTTGGGGCTACCTTGCTTGAGACAGTTTCTTGTTTGCCCTTGCATATGCTGTGTCTGCCTTGGGAGTTTCTGGGTATTCTCCAATCTCTACTTCGCACACTGCTGTAGGGGTGCTGGGATTTAAAAATGTCCTACACTATCCTGTTTTAAGTGGACTCTGGGAATTCAACGTGATAAACATTTAACCTAGTGAGCCTCTCCCTAGATCCCAGCCTTAATGTTTGCATATACGTAACTTTAAAAGTAAATGACCCCTGAAAGGAAAAACCTTGTTGAAAATAAATAAGAATGGCAATTATTGAGTGCTATCTAGTCTGAGAAATGAAAACAGTCATTTTTGTAGTTAGTTTCATATTCTAATAAAAAAGATGAAATAGGAAAGTTCTGAGAACTATAAGGCTTTATGCAGTAGTCATAAACCTGTACTTTGTTCTTAGCATGAGATAACCTAACCTCCTCTTAACATGCCTTCAGTTTTTAAAGTTAGTCCTGAGATACAATGAGTTGAATTTATGAAGTCATGGAAATCACACCCATGAAACCCAAAGATCCAGGGACAGCCTGAATTGCTTCACAAAGTGCCTTGGAAGCTCTCTGAGGGCAACTCTACTTAAGAACCTGCACTCCCAGAGCAATGTATACACATCCTCCCTCCCTCCTCCTTGTTCCTGCAGGTACGGGGTGTGTGTGTGTGTGTGTGTGTGTGTGTGTGCACGTGCGTGCGCGTGCAGGCCAGGGATGACTTCACACATTGATCCTTAGGAGTCATCTACCTTGATTTTGAGACAGAGTCTCTCACCTGGCCTGGTACTTACTAAGTGGTCTGGGCTGGTTGCCCAGCAAGCCCCAGAAATCTCTCAGCTGTTTCCACACCCTATGCCCAGCTCTGGGATTACAGGCATGCATCAACACACATAGCTTTTTGTTTTTTTTAAATGAAGGTTCTGCAGTCTCAGATCCTCAAGCCTGTGTGGTAAACACTTTACTGACTGAGCAATCTTCCAAGCCCTCTCTTTAGAATAAGTGACATTCTTTTCTTTTGAGAAGTCAACAGCACAAGCTGAGCATGGTAGGACATGTTTGTTGGCAAAGGCAAGACACCTAGTCCCAGGCCAGCCTGCGCTACACAAGAAGCCCATGTCTCCACTGAATAAACAAATACAGAAAGGAAAGCAAACTCTTGGCTGCTTACGCTCCTACAATGCTGACACTCCCTTCTCTCTCAGGGTTTCCAAGACACTTCACTCTGCCTGCTCGCTCATAGAAGGAAGCCAGCCGGGCACCAAGGTATGCAGGGTATCCACTGTCTGAAAGACAAAAAGAAAAATTCAAAAGGGAATTCAAAGGCAGCTCCTACAATTTTATCAGTGACAACCAACACTAGACTTACCGGCAGGCATTTCGGCTAAGCGACCAGAGATTTCTCTGAGCGCCTCAGCCCATCTAGAGGTAGAGTCGGCCATCATACTGACGTGGTAGCCCATGTCTCGGAAATATTCTGATAGTGTAATTCCTAAACAGAGAAGAACACTGTTAAGTTATATTGTCATAACACAAACTACTGGCTTTTCTTGGTGTTTCACTTTATAAAGCTCCCTAAGGAACAACAACAGGCACAGTAAGTATCTTGTTAGCCATTTCCCCAAGTTTCTTTTTCTAGGCAAACAGCTGAGCCATACTTACAAGCATCTTTTCCATTTAGATAAGACATGTAACTCCCCTCAATCTGAAAGAATGTGATTAAAAATGATATGTTCCATGGCCAGGCACATTAAACATTTTCTAGACTTCCTAAAGCCCTCAAAACATATGCTAAAGACCAAAGAGCCACTTTTGGCCTGGGTTTATCACAGACTGAAAAAGAGTACCCCAGCCACGGCCATGGCAAACAACTATAATTTGGGGGCTGTTTGTTTGTTGGAGACAAGGTTTCTCTGTGTAGCCCTGACTGTCCTGGAACTCACTCTGTAGACCAGGCTGGCCTTGAACTTAGAGATCCACCTGCCTCTGCCTCCCCAAATGCTGGGACTAAAGGCATATGCCATAGCCAAACCTACTCTACACAGGAAAAGATTTTATGCCCTGCTCTCTGTTCATATAATTAATCCTGAAATACATTTTCAGGAACAGGTTGTCTGTACCATACATCAAACAGGCGTATTTGACTGAGCTGAGACATCCTCAAGACTCTAGTCTCTGATATGGAGACCCTGTCCTGTCCTATAAAGTAAAACACCAAGAAATGAAGTGTCTGGGTCTTCTTATTTATCTCAGCTAAACCTTTATAATACAGATTTCTAAGCTACTAGGATGGAATAACTCCTACCCTATATACTTGTAAAATATTAAAGGAAATAAAATACATATAAATATCTTCCAAAAACAAATAGTATATACAACTCTAAGGCAATAGGAACATACAGTTATGTCTGTACTGTCAGAGTTGTCTAATGCCCCGACTTTTGTTTTAACAAGAACAATACAAGCTCATGAGCAAAGAGAAAAAGCCGCTGTAAACCAACACTTTACTATGTACCACATCGTGATTGAGAATAAAAAACACTAAGCATAAAGTGGTTTTAAAAACAAGCCTTTCAAGAACATAATATTTAGGCTTAAAAACACAATAAAAATATACCAGATATTCTAACTAATGTTTATTTGTTTTTTGTTTTGTTTTTGTTTTGTTTGGTTTGGTTTTTCGAGACAGGGTTGCTCTGTGTAGCCCTGGCTGTCCTAGAACTCACTCTGTAGACCAGGCTGGCCTTGAACTCAGAAATCCACCTGCCTCTGCCTCCCAAGTGCTGGGATTAAAGGCGTGCGCCACCACTGCCCGGCTTGTTTTTGTTTTTTGTTTGTTTCTAAACAATGTTTAGAACAGACTCTTTTTTAAAAAGATTTATTTATTTACATATATGAGTCCTCTATCTGCATGTACACCTGCATGCCAGAAGAGGGCATCAGACCCCATTACAGACGGTTGTGAGCCACCATATGTTGCTGGGGACTGAACTCAGGACGTCTGGATGAGCAGCCAGTTCTCTTAATCGCTGAGCCATCTCTCTAGCCTCTAAAACAGACTTTTTCATATAAGCACAGATGTGTTTTAGGTCTCTGATGAAATGCTACCAACATTTGAATGTCATATTAGATCCTTTGTAGAAAATATAAATAGACATGAGTAATCAAGGGCTCGCTAATCACCTACATACACTTTACAGTGCCTACAAAGAAAAGAACAAAATAAAAACAGCCAATAACTTAGATTAAAAACAAAAACAAAAATACAAAAAAAAAACAAAAGCAAAAAAACAAAAAAACAAAAAAAAAGATGAGGGGTAATGTGTCTGCTTAGCACTTGTGAGTTCCCGGTTAGCACCGGGTGAGGAGTGAAAAGACAAACAGAGCTGCATTCATAGATTCAAAAGGAGCAATTATCTTCATTGATCAAAGAACCTGTATAAATCAATATGAAAGACAACTACGTACATGGAGAGAGGTTATACATTGTATATAATGTCCATTTTACATTATAGGCTGACTAGGGTGTAATAAAGTGGCAGTTGTTAAAATGTCAATCATCCATTCCCGGTGCTAGGCACTTCAGTCGCTTCATGTTTTCTGTTTGCTAAGCAGATTAGCACTGGTGAAGATGAGAGGCAAACTCTCTCACAGTTACCACACCACTTGAATGGCTTAACTGTAACCAGCACAAAGATGCTGGAGACAGTGCAGCAGTTAAGAGCAGTTATGACTCTCTCAGAGCTCCTGTTTTGGGCTCCAGCACTAGCCAGATGGCTCTTAACTCCAGCTCCAAGGGATCTAATGCCCTCTTCTGGCCTCTGCAGGCACTGCACCCATGCAATGCTACCCTTTAGTTTAAAATACAAATATCTTTTTAAAAAATTATGCTTATGCTCTGTCCATATAAAGGAAAATGGCGGCCATATGAAAGATGAGGCAGATTTCCCGTCTTAAATAGCTCATGAACATGCCACTTTCTTCTCCTTTTCATAAGTTATAACCGAACAAAAGAGTGAAAAATAGGCCTACAAATCCAGTGTCTAAGGGGAAGACACATTTAACCCTTAGCTAAAATAACAAGGAAAAAGATCCAAATGAGTAAAAACAAGTCAGGAGTGGGAAGCTTCAAGGAGTCACTGAAGTTACACAACTCGGATTAAGCTTCTGCGAACTGGGACACACATGCTACGGAGAAAATGGCCAGAGCAGGAGGAGTTCCTTGGGCCCAGGCTAGCATGGAGGAGACATAGAAAGATGGAGGTAAAACACAGCACAAGTGGGCACTCCCTGTCTCCACTGCACAGCATGGGTAAGGCGGGGGAGGAGAAAGGACTCACTTCCAATGCCTTGCTGTTCACTGAAGAGAAACAGTAAAATAATTACACAACTGCGTGCCATAACAAATTTCCCAATTAACCATGAAGAATTCCTGCTCCCTGCACCAGCCACAGCCAGTTCCACCCATCTCTTACAAAGATGAGTAATGGTCTGAGATATTTAAATAAAAACACTGTAGAAGGAAGTATGGTGACAGCAAAAGAGGCTGACAAGGAACAGATGAAAGGTGTGACCACAGTGAATTACCTGGAAGAAAAATGAAACCTGTATGGAAATGTAGGCTTCATTAGAGGCAACACTAGAAACAGACACTACTTGTTTGTGTACGTTTGAAAGTCTAAATACAAGACAGGATAGGAAATGGCAGACCTGGGAAACAGAAGGACTCCAGTATGTCTAATGGAGGAAAAGGGTGCAGATACAATTTTCAAGTCTTTCAAAATAAAAAACAAATTCAGAGAGGAAGAAGTATCCAAGTTATCAACACTGCAGTATATCCTAAGAAAGCTATGAGTCTTCAAATTTAAAGAGAAATTTCTTGGACCAAAAAGTCACTTCTAAAAGGGGGAGAATCATTCTCAGATTTTGCTCCCAATATTTACTGCTTGAATAAGTGTTCTCAGGCAAAATAATACTGATCCAAGAATAATACTGATCTGTACTCAGCCAACCACTGTTAGGGTTTGGATAGGCATTCCTTCTACTTCAAAAGTGAAGCCTGCTTTTCATGAACAGAGTAGTACTATAGTAATCTAGTAGATCATAAACCATGAAGTCTATGAAAGTCAACATATATTAGTAAAAGCTACAAGACTACTAAAAAATTGGTCTAATAACTTTAGTTCAGAAACAGAACTGTTAAAGTTTAAAGGCAATAGAGGAAAAAAAGCTTTAGAAACTTATGAAGAAAGGAAGAATTCAAGGAAAATGAAGATTTCCGTGAGTCTTTCTTGCAGAAACTTCCAAAAGACACATTTATAAAACAAGAAATAATGAGAGAAACTAGAGAAACTAGCCACAGGGAACACTGGCTCCATTTAGGGAAGGCCAAAGTCTAAATAGTATTAGCTCTCTAGTTCTAGAACAAAATAGAGTTAATAATTCCTAAAAATGGAGAAATCAAGGTCCTAAACACTGAGGCTGAAAGAGAAAAGTATAGCAAATTTCTTAGTTATATATGCATAACTACATTTACATATACAATGTTAAATATAGATCAGTAATAAGATTAAGAAGGTAAATGTATTGTTTTATGAGCTTTAAGAGCCCTGGAAGCTTGGCTGTAGCTCAGGAGTGCTCGCTTCATCTGTGGAAGGCCCTGGACACGCTCAACAACAGCAGCAAAACGCAGGGGTGGTCGTGCAGGGGAGGTGAGGGAAAGGAGCAGGTGAAGAAGACAACACCACTACCTGGGGCAGCTCGACAAACATCTTATATTTGGGGCTGAAGAGATGGCTCAGAGGTTAAGAGCTTCTGCAGAGGACCTGAGTTCTACCACAGAACCGAGCTGGATAGCTCACAACTGCCTATAATTCCAGCTCCAGAGGATTTGACATCCGCTCTGTCCTCTAAGGGCACACAGACATGTGGTATAATAGATACACCACAGTTACATACACATACAATCTTTTAAAAAACTTTTTTTACTTATTCTTATGATACATACAATCAGGTATTTCTTAAAAGCTAGGAAAGTGATCATATGGGAGTTTTTTAAAGATGAAGTCCTTTGGGAAAGAAAAGCTGGGTGCTAGTGTTCTTTTCTTCCAACCCCTAACTCACCAGTGTAAATGGAGGCTTCTCTTGCAGCCACAGGCATGTTGGAGGTGTTGGCTACCAGCGCGGTCCTCTTCATGATTGATTCCACTTTCCCATCCACTTCCATGGTGAGCTAAGGGTAGGAATCTACTAGTGAGCTCCAGTTTACGTAGAACACTAACATTTTCGATCTTCCCCCATTTACAAATATTATAACTTGTTTCTCTTTAATCCTCTTGTCAGAATTCCCTAGGACTATCCCCCACCACGTCTGTTCCACAGGACTGTCTGATAAATGGGCAATTTCATTTGGACATTTCAAATAGACAAAGGAAATCCATCATTTTATAAAAAAGGACATGTTACTACAGCAACCTAGATCATAGGGACCATGAAAAGCTGCACATTTAAATGGTCAGTTTCTTAGGGTTTGTTTTTAGACAGTGTCTCATGGAGTCCAGCTAACCCTGAGCTAGTGATTCTTCTGGCTTAGCCTCCCAAGTACAGGAATTACAGGCACATGCCACCATACCCAGTCAAGATAAAAATGATTGTTTTTCTTTTATCCATTTTATTTTTCTCTTAAGTGAGAACAAAGAAGAGAAACTTCTAGGTGTCTGACTTTGTCATTTTCCTTTTAAAAATATACAGATTAATCAAAAATATTAATTTAAAATTCTTTGAAAGCATCTTGACAATTGAAAGCACCATTCTTAGCCCATGGAGCATAAACTATTGTCAGTGACAGCTGACTCGCAGTACTTCCTCTAGACGATTATTTGGAGTTTTTTATAGACAGACCTCAGGGAAGTCCCGGAGAACTTCTGACATCTCATTTCCTCTTTCACCGCATCCGACATAGATGATCACGTCACTGTTGGAGTACTTGGATAAAGACTGGGAAATCACAGTCTTTCCACAGCCAAAAGCACCTGGAATAGCTGTAGTTCCTCCCTGAACACACCTGAAGGACAACAAAACAAAAATCAAAAGAAATGTTTCTTATGTCATTGGCTTGGTAATGTATGCTGCTAAACAATGTAGGTAACTGATTCAAAACTACCTGCTAGGGTAATTACTCTGAAGCATTTCTATACACATAGAATATGTTGACATAATTATTAGCAACTCATTTGTGCCTAAAAGGATAGTTTTAAGGTGGATATAAGCTAGGTGTGATGCTGCATGCCTTTTATCCCAGCACTCAGGAAGGAGGCAGAGGCAGGCGGATCTCTATAAGTTTGAGGCCAGCTTGCTCTACAAGGTGAGTTCCAGGACAGCCAGCATTACATAGAGAAAGTATGTCTTTTTTAAAAAAAAAAAAAAAAAAGATGGACATGGCAGTTGATGCCCATAGTCCCCGAATTTGGAAGGCTGAGACAGTAGGATCACCCATGAACTGAAGGCTAGCTTGAACTACATAGCATCCCAGGCAAGTCTGAGGTACAGAGTGACACACTATCTCAAAATAACAAACGACAAACTAGCAAGTATTTTATTATGATTAACCATCTTTATCACCTACAGTGGATGGACAGTGAAAGTGTGTTCTATGAGACACTCCAGAAAGTAGGAAGCTGTGTGAACACAGGGAGATAACAAAATAGCCCTGATGACATTCATGCTTGTACAAGTCTGTTCACTAAAGACAACACACGAATTAAAACTATAAACTACATATGAAGAGCATCTCCTTCAAAAAGGGTAGAAAAGGGCCTAGGAAACGTACACAGTACCATAAAGTTTAGTCAGGGAGAGTGGTAAGGCCACCCTGAAAGAGCTGAGGTTTAATGTGGGCAGTGATTACAGGAGAGGACCCTGAGAAACCCTGACGCTGACAGGAGTTGGGAACAGGGGCCCCATGACAAGTCAATATTAAAAGGTGTGACAAATTAAAAATGTACTGCCCAGTTCAAGGGACATGCAATGCTAAGGGCAGAACAGAGTTCCCGTGGATAAGAAGAGAAGGGCTGGTGTCATGTGTATGACACCAAGGGCGAGAGCAGGGACACACGGAAAGGATTAAACTCTAACACTGTCCCCTCCTCTCCTCTTCCCTTTTCTCTCATTAGACAGGAGACTTATGAAAAGAAGCAGAGGGGGAGACACACTTGAGGAGCCCAGAGATGTGATAAACCCTGAAAGGGGAAAGGAAGAGGAGGTAGGTGGAACTTCCCAGTCTCTGATTTCCCAGGGAAGGAGGAGGCGTGGAGCTAAGTATCTGAGACAGAGAAGCATGAGGCAGCTGCGAGGACACAGCAGTGTGGGCAGAAATCAATTTCTACGGGTCATCTGTTTCTTCTCAGTGGCGTGTGCAAAGCAGAAGGGAACAGCTGGACGGGAGTCCTGGCAAAAACACAAAGCTTTATTCTACCACTAGGAACTATTCGTAAGATTGTCTGTGGAATATATTCTGAATAATGACGGATACAGAGACAGGAGGCAAGGAGCAGCAAGGATGTCAGAGCACAGAGATTGCTGCAGGAAAGAAGCAGTAGGAACGGCCCAAAGTGCAGTTCTGAAGAGCGAGCCTTCAGTGAGACTGCAGGGGAGGGAGGATGCTCGGGTCAGGGGCAGGGTGCCTGCTTGGCCTGTGGGAGCATTGCCTTTTTTTTTTTTTTTTTTAAATAATGAGTTTATAGTGATTCAAGGTTGAGGTAGAAACCGGTCTTTTTTTGGAAATTAAATGATAAGGTCATTGTAGAAAATACAGCAGCATACAGTAAAGCCATGTGTCTAACAAGTAAAAGTAAAATTTTCTAAGCAAAGAAAACAGAAAAGAGCACACTATAAATTACTACTGTTGGCAGCATACAGAGTCCATCTGATCTTAGAGATTAATAGTTTATAGCAATACCAATCTATCAATTCTAGGACAACTTAAAGTTACTTATCTGCTTTGTTACAGACAGTCTTTTGGAAATTTTCTTTTGGAAAAAACTATTTCTTTTGGAAATAGTCTTTTGGAAGGTTTTTTTTTTTTTAAATATAATATTGTTTGTGACGATGGAGGAAAAAAATGTTGCCTCTTTAATTACTGGCAACAGATGTAACTAATTCACCATTCTTGCCCTAGATAAAACCTATCACAGTATTTAATACAGAGAACTCATATCTGCAAAAATTACGAAAAGACAGATACATATAATACCTTGGGAACAAATGGTGGGAGACAGCAAACTTACGGAAAAAGGGCATCGAGAACTCTCTGGCCAGTAAGCAAGGGATGATTGGCTGGTAGCTTTTCAGTGACAGGTCGCACCTGACGCACAGGCCATACTTGGACCATGCTGAACTTCTCCTTCATACCCTCAAATTCAAGCTCCAGGACAACATCCTATTAAAACAAACAAACAAACAAACAAAAAAACAAAACAGTAAAACTAAGAGTGGCTGAATCTGTGAATCATTCTTCCAAAATATAAGTAAGCAAGCCCAGGTTCCTCTTGTGGAAGGCTTCTTTGATAAGTAAGACGGGAGATGTATAGTTTTATTATGTGTCTTTACATATGGCTTTTTTTTTTTTTTAACTGGGTGCATCACTGTCTTGCTGACTAGTATAAAGTATGGTAGGAGGTTTTTGGAAAGGAGCACATCAAGTAATAAAGAGCTACATAAATTGTCCATGCATGACAGGTAAGTCTTCACAGCTACACATGCTCCCATACTTACTTTCCACCTTGTTTTATTGTAATAATCATATTGCTCTAGTTTGAAAATACATGCCAAGAGCCCGAAAATATTTAATATTAGCTTTTTTTTTATTAATATTTTTAAAAGGAAGTGATACTATGACAACATCTATGAACACTGAGACTGTTTAAACCATTCACAAGTAAGTCTAAATTCCAGGAGAAATCTGTAGTCTGGTTAAAATATTAATGGTCTGCCCTTGGGCAATTCCTCCATTTAGAATGAGGGAGTCTGTAAGCTAGGTCCAGACAGCTGTTCTAGAATCTCAAACTGACATGTGTTCTCTACATGTTATAAAGCACACACTTATTTTTGTAAATACTTTTGAAAAACTGCTTACTGCATTTTACTATGGGGACATCAAATGTTATCATGGTCTTCTCAATAAAATTATACGCCAATTTAAAGACTATTATGACTCCACTATCTGACACTCTGTGACTATAAATAAAATTAATAAACTAAGTTACAAATGATACACTTAAGAATTCACACAATCCACTATATAGTTAACTATGTAAATCCTGACTGACAGTTAAAATCATGTCTATTCTAAGCCTAATGAATATGAGATTTAGACAAACCTATCAGTTAAGAAGATATTTCTTACTAAATAAAACAGGAGTCACTCAGAGCTTACATATTCAAAATGCTCTAGCAGTTTTAGGGCACTACAGTGGTAACTGCCATGTATGAGCAGGCTGCTGTGTACAACAAAGCCCAAGCAGTACTTACCGATGCATCGTAATTCCCAGGCGGTGCGATGTAAGTCACGCTTCCTCTGTTACGGGGAGGTAACATGATTTTGTGTTTGATGAGTGAGTTCTCATTGACAATCCCATAAATATCTCCACCAGTGATATGACTACCAACCTAAGGAACAAATGCACCCACTATTTAATGCTCAAAAACAAAACACCCAAAAACCCTAAGTATATATACCCTTACTTTCGTAATTTAAATCACTTGCCTAACTTATGAATAAAGCATTAGTTCTATAGTTCAATAAGTGCATTAAATAATAGACAGTATATCCATGGTTTATGTTTATTTGGACTAAGACTATAAAATAGTTCACTAAATATACATTTCATTTCATATTCTTTCACCAACTTTAGGAATTTCTGGTTACACAGACATACCCGTAGGTTTTTGCTGGGTGTAAACTCCCATTTGATATCTCTGCTAAGAGCAGATACATTTACTCCTCTGGGGATGTAGATACTTTGGGTCTGACTGCTGATATCCGATAGAGGTCTCTGAATACCATCAAAAATGGCTCCCATAATGCCAGGACCAAGCTCTACCGAGAGAGGTTTACCAGTGCGGAGTACAGGGTCTCCGACAGAAACACCAGCTAGAAACAGCAGTTAAGGAAAACTTAAAACAAAAGTTGGAAGATATTATTGATATCAGTTTAAAAGGAAAATGACATTTAAGAAGATATAATAAGTTCCCAAAGTTTCCCAGATCTTTGATATTCCAGCAATATTCTACAGTCTCTAAGGACAAAATATATACCTAACACTTCTAGCTATTAAATAATCACATCCAAAGAGTTTAATCAATATGTATATCCTAACAACTGAGTATCAATGAAAGAATAGTGTGTAAACTGAAAAGAGGAAAATCTCAGGCCTAAACAACCACAGCTCTAATGAGCAGAAGGGTGCATGCAGTTTACGAATACCATGTAACTTTGAGATTGGAAACCTACTACATACTTATTTCTGCCTCCGTGGATTTTAGGTCAGCTTCACAAACATTTATGATGCCACTGACAAGAATGTAACGAACAAACTTTCAGTGGTTAATCATGTCTGATGAAGTGTCTAATATTCTGGTGTGAAATTTTTGAGTGGTGTGGTCACCATCTGAGTCTGCTGCAGCTGCCCAAATGCCTCTGCAGTTTGGGAGTCACAGGTTTAAGAACAGAAGCAAAAGCCTCTCGTTAACTCATAATTTTGACTATATTACTGAATAGCAGTCTTCTATACAGAATTGTGGTAGCTAGACAAAAAAAGGTGAGAACTAAGAAAATTCTTTAGAAAGAAAAGATAAAGCCTAAAAGGTGACTAGACAGTGAAACACCTTCTTTTATATTTGTTGATAGTGCAATTAATAAACATTCACTGAGATTAGTTTAGTTTTCAAAAGTAAAAACGGTTACACTGTTTAAAAGAAAGACTATAAATCATCAAAATTTATACTATTAATTAATTACTAAGTCATGACAATACAGTATGCTGGAATTATATGTAGCTATAAAAAAGGAGTAAGAACATCTATGAATTCTAGTAGAAAGGTCTCCAAAACACTCATTTTCATTATCAGTGTCTAAAAGGAATTTTTTAAACCTACAACAAAGTTCAAAGAATTTCTCAAAAACCACTCCTTTATTTCTAGGTTGCATGATTAACATTTTACTATATTTACCATATTATCTTCATCTTCTGCAATACAAATATCTTAAAATGGTAGACAGGTACAGAATAGTTTATATTAATCTGCTATCTTACAAGAAGAAAGGACAAATACTTGTATTTGCTAAGATACCTGATTTAAATTACAACCAAGTATAATATATATGTATAAAATGCCTTAATGAAACCCATTATTTGATACGCTAAGGCAAACCTAGAAGTACAGAAGAATATACAATAATTATAAGTAACTAATCGGAGTGGTTATTTGTGTCTTGAAGTCAGCCAGAGGCCATAAAATGTAGGGAGTATTATCAGTGCATACATTTTCATTAACTTTAAGTCTACAAGCCACGTGAAAAAGAGAGTAACTATGGGGTGAGGTACAGCTCAGTTATTAGAATGTATGAGGTTCTGTGTTTCATTTCTACCTATTCGTCAAGTGACTAGATGGGAGAGAAAGGTATATCAATAAACACAAACACACCCGAACTTGTTTTTAGCCATGATGTCATGACTAGAGAAGCTTCTAATTTGGGGCTGGGGTGATACCTCTGCTATTAAAGTACTTGTCTTGCAAGCATAAGCACATGAATTCAATCTCCAGAAACCACGTTAAAAAGCATATTCTTCCAACCTCAGCCCTGGGCAGCCTGAATCAGATCCTTGGCGCTGGACAGCCAGCAAGTTTAGCCTATTTACCATGCTCCATGCAATATGAGAGCTCTTGTCTCAAACATCAGGTTGAATGGCACATGAGGTTGTCTTTTGGCCCTCACCCATATGTCCTCACATACATGTGCAGCTGCATACACATGAACCAGAGACTTTTAATTTCCTTTTTAGGTGACTTTTATGTTAGCATCTACTACTCATACAGGAGAACAATTACTTCCAAGCATTCTTGTTAGAGCAGCAATAAAACAAAATATGCTTAAAACCTCAAGAACTAATGCTGACCTTGAGAGTTGTGTCAAAGACATATGAGTTTCCAAAAGACCAATTCTTTGTGAGGCTTGCATTTCTTTACACTTTATTTTTATTGAAAGTAAACATGTAGTATTTCTTTACTGTGTGTGCACCTGAGTACAGTCAAGGAGAGGAGAAGAGAACTGTGCCCCATTCGTTTTCTCCTCCCACCTTTGCATGACTCCCAAGGATCGACTGAACTCACCCTTCTGGGCTTGGCACCAAGCACCTCCACAAGCTGAGCTACCTTGTAAGCCCCTCCTCAGTTTTTCATAGAAAATTGGAAACAGATATTATGCTTAAAAATCAATATTGTAGCAATATTAAGGATTTCTTAGTGCTAAAGCTATATCATTCATTAAAGAGTGAGAATGGTGAAGGATCTATATTTATTTGTTATTTTAAATAAAAATCATGGCTGGGTAATTTTAACCACAAAAGCCCACATCATTACTTCATTTATTATCTCTTCTGCAATATTAAACCTTTTAAACAAATTTCCAACTGGATTTCCTGAAGTCTGTGGCACCAAATGTTAAGAGCAATGAAAATTCAGAATGTTATTTCTAATTTCTTGTCTAAGAGCACTAATTCCCAATAGTTTTCCTTTCAATACGGGAGAACTATTCCTTTATGACATGTCTTGTCATGAACCTACTTTGGGTTAAATCCTTAAACCCTGACATACAGGTGGTGGCAGGAAACTGACCAGAGAAGGATACAAGTTTCTTCATACACCTGAATGGTGGCCATGTCACCTTCCAGTCGAATGATCTCTCCGACCAGCTCGCTGTGCCCCACTCTCACCAGCTCGTACATAGCAGCACCCGCCATGTCACAGGCTGTAACCACTGAAAGAACAAAGTGCTGTGAATGATTACAGCGAATGTCAACATCTCATACACCCAGCAGCTTGCCTTCTCAGCTATTCTGAAGGAAGAAATGAACTCCCACCATGGACTAACCTTTCAGGTTTCACATAGCGACATACTTTTAGTAAATGTTACAAAGAAGGAAACAAAATAAACTTGTTAGGCTATAGTTTAATGCAACATAAAAGCAACCTATTTTAACACATGAAGTCCTATATGAAGACTCTCAAGTATTAAAGTTCATTCTGAACAACCCTAGCTGCTTTCATACATGCAATGAAGGGTTTTGTAACCATAAACAACAAACAAGCAAACACCTTACAATGGAATTAAGAGCTTTAGAACATCATACAGTAATTATCAGTTTATTGTGCTGTTACCCCTTGAAAGACAACAATAAAGCAAGATTTTAACTTATTACTACTTTTAGCCAGTGATTCTAAAGTTTCCTTGCTGTGGACATTCAATAAAGTCTAACTCTAGGATTTAAAAAATAAATAAACCAAGACCTTATACATAGCCAGATGGTACGCATCTACAACCTTAGCATTTGAGAAGGAGAGACAGGAGGATCAGGATTTTAAGCCAGCCTAGGATCCTTGAAATCTTGTTACAAAATACCACCAGCAGCTCACACACACACATATAATTCCTCTTCTCAAACCATAAGATGTTCATAACCAGCCACTACCACCTTTATTTTTAATATTTTTTCACAAGCAAGAGCCAGAATTAGAACTTGCTATGTTAGACCACACTGTCTATCAAGCAAAAGTTATTTTTCTGGAAGGGAAAGAAGGGTGCTACATTTGTAGAAATGCATAAGAATGAACCCATTCTTACTACATAGTGTGTGATTACAACTATGTGCTAGTAATTATTGCAGTGGAAAAACATGTTCAATTAATTTGCTCTAGAAACTGAAGAATTGTTCATTTCCTATTTACTTCTATATTGAACAAAAAATTAAGATGACCTGAAATATCACATGATGAATTTAAAAATCATATTTCATAAACCCCAAATGATACCATTGATCTATTAAGAAGTACCTAGGAATTAACCATCAGCCCCCAGGACAGCTTGCTGCACATTTCCTCACACTAATTTTACCTAAGCTGGCTGACGTTCCTTTGCTTTTTCCCTAAGGTTTCCCATGTTTACTATATCTGCCCTCTCATCGTCAAGGGGAAACTGCTTCTGCGATCAAAGGGAGATGGGAAACAGTGAAACGCTCACTCTCTACTTCTCGCCAGTGAGCTCAAGTTCATTGGGTGCTTGGAGAGAAGAAGGTGGAGCTCACGGATCTGTGAAAAAAGTCTGCCAAACAGGCACCAGCCCTTTCGCTGTCATTGGAGCAGAGCACACACTGCAGTGTGAAACATAAGGGAAAATATATCTTAATATCAATGAGCAGGTTGTACTTAGGCCACTGTAGTTCATATTTGTTAGTGGGATATTAAGCAAAAAATAAAAAATAAACACTGAAATGAGATGGTTATTTTAAAAGCAGAGTTCCAAGGTTTGAGAAAAATGGATATAAAATGTAAAACTACTTTCTAGTCTCAGTATCAGAGCATCAGGCTCCTCTCAAGTAGTCAGCTATGAGATACCTGGAATAATTACTCAGACAGATGTATAAACACAGAGGAGAAGTTAACATTATCAAGAAAGGCTCTGAAGATCATTACTTAAGTTCAAATAAAATCAGTAGAGATTAACTGAATACTTATTACACATAGAGCACTGCATACTAAAAGCTATAAACCCTAAAGCTTTAATTTCAAATTTAACAAAAAAATTAAGCTTTATTTACCTAACAAGCATGGTATCACAAAGTAGCTTATCAATGACAAACCATCATGTACATGATTAGTGCTTGGTGGACCATTATGGTGGCTGTATTATTTTACTCTCATAGTCACTCTGAGATCTTAAAAAAAAAAAAAAAAAACCATTTATGTGGACCAGCAGGACCTGTGTTTCTCCCCATGGCACCTAGAAAAGTCGATCACAGTGAGGCATTCTTACTCTTAGCTGCTGCACATTACTTACCAGGCCCTGAGACTCCATGCACATAACCAAATGTGCTTTCTTTATCTTCATCACGGATTTTGGGTAGCTTGGAGAAATCCATTGTGTTAAATTTACCTGAGGCAAAAAAAAAGTAAATCATAATTATAAATTCTTAAAACAAAAGAATTAGCATAGGTAGTATACACACACACCATACACATACACACACACACACACACACACACACACACACACACACACACCACACTCCCACACTCCTCAAACCCAGGGATCTGGCTGCCTCTGCCTCCTGAGTGCTGCTGGGATTAAAGGTGTGTATCACCATCACCCAGCTTAACATAAAATTCTTAAAGTTAAAAGAACCTCATTCTTAAGTAAGCAACTAGTATATGTTGTAATAACTAAACTGCGTGTTTATATTTCCTATTCCATAGAAAAATACTAAAAATTCCCAATGATATATCTATCCCTTTACTATTCATATTCTCATCCAATATTTCCAATTTCCTCTCCAATTACTCTGAATCATTCATAAAGCCTCAGAGCTTTGTGAAGGCTGTTGCCTTTGTCTAAGATTTTTTTTTGGCTAGGTTACCCAGCTCAGTACCTCCTTTAGGATTCTGTTCAAATGTCATCTTCTTCATGAGCGGCTGTAAGCACCAATTAAAATATATTGTCCCCACCTTTAGTTTTTCAGTGCTTTATTCATTTTTTTAATGTTATGAGTGTTTTGCCTTAATATCTGTATGTGCACTACATGCATAACTAGTGCCTCCAGAGGCCAGAAAAGGGTACTGGATCCCCTGAAACTTAAGTTCAGACAGTTGTGATCCACTGTGTAGGTGCTGGGAACCAAACCTGGGTCTTCTGAAACCAAATGCTTATAAACACCTTAGCCCACTTCCCAGCTCCACCCTTGTTTTATTTATTTTTTTAAATCATAGCACTTTTCATAGTAGAACAAACTATGTATTTTATATAAAAGTCTATCTTTAACATTTGACTCAGGGCATTTTTCCTTTTTTTCCTTTAGTAGGACAGAATCAGTTAAGAAAACTGAATTGAGGAGCTTGAAAGAGGGCTGAGTAGTAAGAGCATTTGCTCCTGCAGAGGAGCAGTTCCCGTCCTAAGGGGCTGACATCCTCTTCTGGCTTCCTCAGGGACAAGGATGCACATGATGCACATACATGCAAGCAAATACACGGACACATAGAATAAACAAAGATAAATCTTTGAAAAAAAGAAAATTAAGTTCAACGTCTATTTCTGAGATGTACAATGTGAAAACTCCAATGGACAACTACCCATATCCAAACAGAAAACAGAAGCCTGGCCAGGTGAGTCACACTTTTGTTCTCAGCACATGGGAAGCAGACTCAGGAGGTCTGTCACGACATCTGAAGCCATCCTAGACTACAAAATAAGCTCCAGACCAACCTGTACTACAGAGAGAGCCTGCCAAAAAACAAACAAAACACCACCAACCAAACAACAACAAAAACAACACCAAAAAGAAAAATCGGTAATGGATTCCACAAAATTAGCCTTACAGCATTCAGAAATAAAGTGCCAAATCATATACATTCAGTAAACTTTCACAGACTACTGTGTTTAATGAAGCCATCTTGAAGGTCAGCTAGTATTTGTACAAACAAGGAAAGGGTGAGTGGCAAAGGCAACCCAGCCCGGTCAAGAATAGAGAATGGAAATAAAATATTCAGGAAGAGCAAACAGACCGGACTGGCTGGTAAAAAGCTTATGTTAGGGCAACAATAGGCACGGAACAGGCAAAGACAGGTGACACCAACTACGGGTCTCTGCCTAAACCTAAGAAAAACAAATGTACCTAGCCCTGTGAACAAAAGGAAGGAAGTGGCGACTGAAGGAAGGATGGTGCGCTGTTGCACTAATACATTAAATCCGGGAAAGGCTGCATGTAGGCTGAGAGACTGAAAACGCTAGCTAAGGCTTGAATGTCGATGGACTTCCATCTACTGAATGTTTGCTCTGTTCCTCCCAAGGGAAGGCCCTGTGTTAAAGCAAGAGAATAAAAGCTGCAACTAAACAACTATTTTCAAGGTGCTTTTGCTGGTTTACTCAAATAGACTACACAGAAAAATAATTTAAGTGCTCAATTAAAGTATAAACACTGTATTGGGAACAAAAGAGAAAATGACTCTATCTACTGTAGAGAATGTGGGTAAATGTAGATCAATATGGATAAAGCATATATACAAAAAAGTTGTTAGAAAGCAAGTTTTGAGGACACTTGAGTCCAGATAAAAAGAACACAGGTAAGAAAGCCAACTCCTGAGCTTTCCTGAGTCCGGCAACACCAAGGGGTGATTTCTACTATTTGTGGAGATACCAGAGGAACACATACCACATATACACAATTTGTAACCCTTTAGCCAAAGTATCAAAAGCTGTGTGTAGACATTGGCAAATCTTGAGTATTGTTTCTCAGAAGTTGTCTACCTTGCTTCTTTGAGAAAGGGTCTTTTGCTGAGACCCCAGCCTCGCAGATTTGCTTGGGCTGGCTAGTCATTGAGCTGCAGGTATTCACCTGCCTCAGCCTCCATAAGCACACACTATTTCACCTGCCATTTTAGTGGGTGGGTGCTGAGAACTGAATAAGTCCTCATTCTTGCACCAGACATTTTGCCAATTGAGCTATCTTCCCATCCCTGAGAACAAGATTTTCTAGAAACAATCAGATAATGAAAGATAATGAAAAAAAAAAAAAGAGTAGCTGATATCCTCTTTTGATCTCCACAGGTACCCAATACACATACAAATACACACATTAAAAAAAAAGTCCTTCAGGGGCTGGAGAGATGGCTTAGTGGTTAGAATTTACTGCTCTTACAGTTGAGCCAAGTTCCATTCCTAGCACCTACACGGTAGCTCATAATTGTCTATAATCCAGTTCCATGGACTGCAATGTCTTTTCTGACCTCTGTGAGGCCCTGTACGCATGTGATGTGCAACACACACACCTTCAGAGAAGTAAGAGTACTGAGGTCATCACTGAGACTAAGTTCTTCCCTGTATAGTATCTGTGACACAGGATCATCTGCCCAGTAAAGAGGAAACAGCATGAGTGCTCGAGTCAGCTGACTTGGGATCACACTTAGGTTCCTCTAATGATAAGCTGCAGGAAAACTTAGACAAACCAAAATCTTTAACTGAAAAACAGGAATCATGGCACCACTTACTTAGGAATTGTGGTTTAATTACAGACTTGGTCAAATGTTCCCTGTGAAATGCTCACAAACACTCCCTTAGCAACGCTACTTGAATAGCATCTCAATTTTGAAAAGGCCATTTACTTCCAGAAGCGCCTTCTTTCTGATGGGTATGCATGATTTCCTGTCCATCCTCCCGAGTGCCTTCTGTTGTTCCTTGCTCAAAGGCAGTCTTTTTATGGTCCCTCACTCCTTGAACTATCCTTTGATAAAGTATTTTATTCTCTTTATATTGACTGCTTTAAAAATGGAGCAATAGAAATAAATGCTTCGAATGTTGTGTAAGTACAAAGGAATATTAGTACTTTACTTTAGAAGACAGAGACCAAGGCTTTGAGTCAAAAAGACTGAGTTTAAATTTGTAAATTCTAGCAATGAAAAAGTGCAATTCCTTTGATTAGTCTATTTTACCTGTAGAGCCCAATAGAGCTGTGGCAAGACATACATATCACGGTCTACCAGAGAGAAAAGGGGTATGGAGAGTAATTTAATTAATCCAAGCCAAGATTGCTTGATTTCTAAAAAGTATGTCTAATGAAAAGTATGTCTGCTACTGCTTTTAAAATAAGATTTATTTTTATTATTTTTAATGGCATGTGTGTGTGTGTGTGTGTGTGTGTGTCCATGCGCGCGCCCGCACAGGTGCCTGTGAAGGTACGGGAGGGATGGGGTAGGGTGTGAGGTCAGGTCCTCCTAGCACTGTTGTCCTAGGTTGTCCTCTGAAGGATCGGTAAATGCTGTATTACAGGCAGAAAATATGGTGTAATACTCAGTCTTTCCTTTAACCAGCCAGATAATACAGGGATGCATGCATTCTAAGCAGCAGCACAGGCTGACTTTACAGAGTGCATGGTGAAGACAACGGCAGAGCGGCTGACAGGGTGAAGTGAAAGCTAGACAGATGAGTGAGGAAGATCAGAGTACACTGTAATGCTCCTAGAGATGGTCCAGTTCTCCTGAGCTATAGAAAGGCCGTCTACGCCTTCAGTAAGCCAAGCAGTATCGTTTGTAATTTTTAAAGTATTTATAGTCTGAGATCTCCCAATATATGAACAATGCTTAATGGAAAGGATTCACATGAATTTGTTCACCAAACAGCTTTCTTGTGGGTTTATCAGTGTCTGGAGAAGTAAAGCCACTATGGGAAGTTTGGTGACCTGTTGTAGCTTGTCTTAACTACTTTTGGGGTTCTTCTTTTTCCTATCCTTTATTCCCCAGTTTCACTTCCTAACGCTATGTAGGAAAAAGCAAGGACAGAGGAGAGGAATTAGGAAGATCCCTGAATCTTTTTTTGTTTTTTCTTTGACCCTAGCTACTAACAAACTGCAAACAACCTCCCCAGTGACCACCAACCACCAACCCTGCCTCTCCGGGAACCCTCACATTTATGCATCCTCTGAAAGTTCTCAGAATTCCAAATGTCACACAATCGCAGAAATTATCTGCAGCTGGCAAAACCACGCCTCTGCTAGAAAGCAGCCCCACATCCCTACACCTGAGATTAAAATGAAAGCACATTCTTGTAATTATTTCTGTGTTTTTTAAAAGAAACCCAAATTCCAGAATTCTTAAAAATGTCACTACAACCTATTATTTTAAACTTTTTAAAAACGTTTGAGGCACATATTAGGCATTAGGAGCAATAACATTAAGACAGTAAGAGCAGCAAGACAATTGAAAGCCTAATGGTAACACTACAAGTTTACCTCCAGATGACCAGACATACACCTTTGTTTTCATGTGACAAATACTCTTAAACCAGCAAATCAAAGGTTTTTTTTTTTTTTTCTTTTTCTTCTTGGGAGGAGGGTGGTGGTGGTTAATGTTCGGGACAATTCCACTCACTAAAAATACCATATAGGGGCT